CTTCAGCCGCCCATCGCCATGGGTCTCGTCAATGCCCAAGGCATGAAACATTGCACGTCGCTTGTGCGTTCTGGACAGCCTCATCCCCACCCACTGAGGCAGCAAACGCTTGCATGCACACGGTCGCGTTCGCGCATCGTCTCCACTTCGCGATGAGTTCCCAGCCATGTCGATCTGCCGAATCGGGTACGTCAGGTTTCAGGTTTTCGTTCTGCATTGACGCTCGAACGTTCTGAGTCTCGGATGAAGCCTCAGGCCCTTCCCGCTCCTTTACCTCTGCTCGTAATTGAGTAATGTACCTTGATCTCGACCACGCGACGGAGCCTTATCAACGGCAATTATCAATTGATCAAGATACCCTAGTAGCGCCATTAGAAATGTTTGTGGGTAGAATTGACATCGAGCGAATGGGATCAAGGTAAACGATCAGGCCTCACGTCGCCTCCAAAGATTAAGGACATACGGTTACATCACATCTGTGCCCGGCCCGTTTTCGTAACGGCTTTTGAATCTGCTAGCCATGGGTCTGTCTGTACATGGGAAGCAGACAGGGTAGAAGGTGTGATCGTCATCTAATGTGGGTTAAGAATGGAGTTATCGTCTTCTCCAGCTTCGTTGATGATCACGTCGATCGTTCACCATTGAGAGCTGGACTCTGACTCTGTCGTTACCTTCATATCTAGTGGCGCAGGCTTTCGTCCACTCGTTGTTGTTCTTCTTCTTCTCTGGTTATCACCATCATCGTCACTCATTTACCAATTTTTAGCCCTCCAACGACAACAGGCAGGAGGCTTTCACCATTATGGCGCAGGTTACGCCCCGTTCCATGCTCGCACTTCAGCTTCCAGACCCTCGATTCAGCGTTGACTTCGCGAACTACGCACTCGACCCCAAAGCATATGCTACGACCAAGAAGTACATGCAGGACTTGTTCCCCGGTCAGAACAAGCCGTTACCACCACCAAAGGCTGGATCATCGCGTCATTGTAATGTGAACGCAAAGCCTAGACGCGTCATGGCAAAAGAGTCGATACCTCCCTCAGCGGCATCGCAAAGTCTTGACGACAAGTGGGATGCGCACACCATAGAGTGTATGATAATGCTTGACGAATCACTCGTCGACGAATCGGATCGATCTTCAGCCTCGTCGAACTCGACAGCAGAGTCTTACGCCACCAACGTTACTTCCATCAGCGCTTTGAGTAACACGGCGCCTACGACAAAAGCTACCAATGGTCCCACAGAGTCGACGCATTCCTTTCTTCAACTTCCCCAGGCAATAGTCAATCACGTATTGTCATACGTTTTCGCTGAAGAACGCGCGGTCTCCATCACACCATACCAGTCGCGTGTCACACCCCAGCCACGACGCCGGCACCGCCGTGGCCCGAGCACCATCGACATCCGATCTTTTATGATGCATCCTGCATTGATGGTATGTAAGCAGGCGCGCGAGCTGGGACTAGACATCCTCTATCGCGACAGCCTATTTCTCATCGACCTATCTGACATTGGTGGAGTCAACGCCAGCGGCGAGAAGGATATCGGCAAATATTGGGGATGCTGGACGAGCAGTACGCCACCTCACATGGTCAAGTCGGCACTCTCCCGTGCTGCAAACATCCGTATCCAGCTCCCAGTTCCTAGCGCAGAAGCTACAGTTGTACGCAGCGCAACTAAGAGGAAGAAGGACGCCCAGGAAGACACCTCCATCGTGATCGATTCTCTACGCACAGTGACCACCCTCATCACTGGTCAGGACAGCACCCCAACTCAACCAACAGAACGGAGTCGCTCAGCCAGTCCAGCGGGGCCGAAGATCCTCCGTCGCAAGCTCAGCTTCCGATCTGCGAAGCGTCCCGACTCATTGGAGTTTGTATGCCGCGGAGACTCCCCTCCACCCCAACCGAGAGAACCCTTAAGCACGCTAGAAGTTGTACTCGTGAAGGCTAATGCAGACGCCGAAGTGCACAGCCAAACGCTGGACATGGTAGCAATATGCAGTAGCATTCCAGTATCCGGCGCTCTAGAGTATCATCTTGAGCTTGACGCGATGAGGAGGCTGTGGGCTAAGCGTGACAATGGACAATGGCGAGGAAGTGAGCCAGATGGTCACAAACTCCTGCATGGTACGTCGCAGTCTACTTCAATCTCCTCGCACCAGTACTGACTTGCAACAGATCTTAGGGCTCTAGGACATTCAGCGGCGAAAGCAGAAGTCGCACGACCTCGTGAACAGCCCAGACAGACGCACGACCAGCCTACTGCACGTGCAGATGTACTCCATAGAGATAGGGCACGCCCTTCCCAGCAATCAACCAGCGGCAGGCCTAGCTTAGAGGGGCACATTCAGCAACGAGGTGTCCCAAAACCACGACCTGCTAAAAACGGCCTCGTCGCAAGGAAGATCAAAGAGATGGAGAGCCTTTCCAAGATCAAACTGTTGAAGGGCAACAAGCAACCACCGACGGTTGAGGAGCTTCAACAGATCGCCTCCGACATCAGGAGAGGCGTCTACTAAAAAGTTCATCGCGGCCTGGGGCCGACAGAGCCCGGCGCTCAATCATGTCATGTACTTACTTTTCTTCTGTCATATCTAAGTTTAATGTCTATAGTCTATCCACACTCAAACATGTCCATAACTTTAGATGTGCTTGGTCGACTAGGCCTTTCCGTCCGAAAATTGGACAACAGCCCACTTGCCACTCCAAGCCCACTTTCTCGCCCCACTGTCTCCGCCGCCCCCCTCTGATGCTTTTATGCGCTCGTCTTCTCCGTCCTTTAATCCGACGACGACGTCGGCTTTGCACGTGCGGAGCGCGAGGACTCGTAGACCTGAGCCAGGGCCCATTGGTCCAATGGCTTCGGTGAATGGTGTGGTAGGAGACCAAGCAGCCTAGTGTTGGTCAGTAATGCGAGGAACAAATGTGGAAGAGGGCACTCACATCAGCGGTTAGCTTGCGATAGTTGAGATCGCCCTTGAAGATGACGAGCTCACTTTCCTTGAGATCCTTGTACAAGTCCGGCTCGCTCTTGGGAAGCCGCCAGTAGCTGCCGCCCGCAGTCCAGAAGTCGTTTGGTCGCATCATCAATTGGCCTTCTGCGTGGAGACCACTCCAATGCTGGAAGAGGAATTGCAGATTCGCGCTCTCTGTCTCAGACAGCGGTACGGACTGCTTGCCAGCGTGCTTCTCGTCTTCCGATAGCGCGCTGTAGAAGCTCTGTGGGTCGGCTAGTGCCATGAGGAGTGCACCGAAATCGGCTGGCAGAACGTCTGAAACGAACCATGGGATGTTCTTGGGGTGGAACACGACGTTCGTCGCCAGGCCAGAAGCGATGAGATATCCAGCGAGAATCAGGTCGACGAAGAGCTCGAAGCCAGCATTGTCAAGCACAATGTCAACGCGACGTTCCTTCTTGCCCTTCTTCTGAGCCCGCGTGAGAACCTCGAACGCCTTGTCTAGGTCGTTGACCAGAATGTTCTTCTCGGAGTTCTTGCGCGCCTCAGAGCCCTGCAACTTCTGGATGTCCTCGTATGACAGGTTGGTCAACAAGGACAGATCCGTCGCATTGCCCCAGAGACAGATCTCGCACATCTCGGTGAACAGGACCTTCTCTGCAGCCTCGAGCTGCTCCTGCGACTCTGCACCCTTGATTGTCTTCTTCTGTTCGAGCTCGGTGACAATGTCTTTGTAGCGTGCGGCGAGTTCGATGACGGCGGGGCGAGAGGATTTGAAGGTTTCCATCTTCTGGCGAGCGAAGATGTCGTACGAGCGCCATTTGGTGGTTTGCTTAAAGATGCTTGCGATGCGTCTGCCTATGGCCATTAGCACGCGCCATTGAGCGACTCAGGCCTACATACCTGTACAGATAGCACTCGGCGTATAGCCAAGACACATTGTGCCACTTGGGGTTGCCTCTCGCCGCTAATTCCTTGTTGTATGCATCGACATCGCGTTCGCCATCATCGGGGATCGGAGTGAGCTCGCGGTCGTGCTGGAGCTCGTATTTCAGCTTGGCAAGCTCTGCAACGACCTGTTTGCCTTCTGTGATGGCCGTCTCGTCTTTGGTGTCGTGCAGGGAGCGGTGCACGTCGTCAATGCCTTGGGTGATGATGATGGGCCATCGCGAGCGCGCCGAAGTGTGGGCAAACGACGTCGCGTCGTTGGTGCTGTACTGCGCTGGTGCCGATTAGTCATGGAGCGGCCGGTATAGACGCGCGTATACTCACGTGCTGTGAAAGTGTCGTACTCCATGTTGCTGCTCAGTTGTGGTGTGGGGGTAAGATACTCTCAGTTACAACTTTCACCATGACGACGTTTGCAGGGGTCCGGGAGCGAAAACGTCGCCAAGCATTCTGGCTACCCCTCCACGTGCTCGACCGTTATCCCCACTACAGCACCTCCCACCAAGTGCAAGTACGACACTACCAAATGCCTCGTGTTCTATAATTTTATTCGCAAAGGTCATCACATACTGCATGCCATGCTTCACGTCCCGCATCTACTGACACCGAGTACCTCACATACCAAGACTCCTGACGGCCAAGTGGAGAGTATGGACGCTGATGCGAGCAGGCAGGGCGGACCTAAACCATGGCTTGGCTAAGGTACATGTCCCAGCCCTAGCTATGAAGTTTGGACAGTATTTGGAAGCCATCGGATTCCAAGTGAGGCTCCGGGGTCGGGACGCAGGGTCCGTGAAATCTCGACGAATCGGACATGTGGAGTGACATGCCTGTTAACCATGACGTGTTTTCCCAGGCACTCTCGTGTCGCCGCTACCTGCGCGTCTATAAACGGTATTCCGAAGTCACCTTTGTAGGAATGTAATGCCAGTTTGCTAGCAGCTCGATGCGATTTCACTTTCACATCTCGACGCACTTCGTACGCATCCACATGCGCTAGCTCATGAAAATCTACCGCTCAATCCTCAGTATCGGTGTTCGCAGCACCATCACCCCCAGACCTCTGCGCACCTCCTTGCAATTCGCACGTACAATGGCAACGATACCGAACGGAGATCTGAACAATACCTCGGCCGAACGTGCACGAACTGAACTCGACATCGATCCCGCGTATCAAGGTCGCTCATTGGCGATACCACCTTCTGAAGACGATGTGGAAATTCGAAAGGCTTACCGGCCATTCATACTTGAGGGGAAAGATGCCGAGGACGATTGGGTGGCTCAATTAGAACTCAGCACTGCACTGAAGATGGTGGACACACAATTGCTCCAACGCGGAGATGAGAGGCTTAAGGTGGTAGTCCTGCACGGAAGCATGCGATCAAGGTACGAATTTGTCAGCAAGATGTCTCATGGGTGCTGTCAGGGAAAAACACTGACACAGGGCAGATCTTACTCGCGCTTGCTGTCGTACGAGGCGAGTCGAATACTTTTCCGCCTTGGCTGCGACGTTCGCATGTACGACCCCACTGGCCTGCCTGTCAAGGACGATGTACAACACACACATCCCAAAGTGCAAGAGTTACGCGAACTGAGTAAGTGGAGCGATGGGCATATATGGATATGTCCTGAGCAGCATGGGACTCTCGTAAGTTGACGTCCTGAAACTCCACATGCTTGGTGAATACCATACTGATAGACTTCTTCTTTCAGACGGCCGTTTTCAAGAACCAGATCGACTGGATACCACTGTCAACCGGCTCTGTTCGTCCGACCCAGGGCCGTACCCTCGGAATCGCACAAGTGAACGGCGGTTCGCAGTCCTTCAACACGGTCAACGCCCTGCGAATACTTGGTCGATGGATGCGCATGTTCGTCATACCGAACCAGAGCTCCATACCCATGGCATATAAGCAGTTCACAGAGGAGGATGCCGGCAGCAGGCTGATGCCCAGCGGAAACAGGGATCGACTTGTCGACTGCATGGAGGAGTTCGTCAAATACACCATTGTGATGCGCCCTCATTTCGATCTCTTCGGCGACAGGTTCAGTGAGAGAGAAGAGAAGCGGGCGAAACAAGCGAAGGAAGCTAATAAGCCAGCCCCAGACACGCAGCATGCGGCCTTGTCAACCAATGCGGGGCCTTCGAATTAACCCGAACCTAATTTGAATGCAAGAACAGCATTGCCTCAAAAGAATAGGAGTCTGGCATACATTGTGGTAGTATAGCGCAGGTTCTGAATGTATCAACAGCCCTCGACCGGTTCTGGACTAGTGCTGTCGATCATCCGTGAGAGGTGACACCCCGCAAATGCAAGTGACATATCTCCTACGCGCATATATAGTGGCGCCGGCTGGAGCAGAAGGTACCATGCTTCTGAATGCATGCCGCAAAGATGACGAAACAAGACAGCATTCCCCGACAGCACAGCGAGGTGTCACCGCCACTGACGCTTGATGAGGTAATCGAAGGAGAGAATACCACCATTGCAGAGCATACGCCCCCCGATGGCGGCTACGGCTGGGTTTGTGTAGCAGCGTGCTTTACTATAAACTGCTTCACATGGGGTACCGTGTCTGTGAGTCAAGGTCGCTTATCCAGAAGATACTTTCTCCCCACCGTGCATCATGTTAACAACGTTCAGGCCTATGGCATCTATCTATCGCACTACCTAGCCGACGACATCTTCCCCGAAGCCTCTACCTGGGACTATGCGTTCATCGGTGGCTTCAACTTTGCCATTGCTATGCTCCTGGCACCCTTCGTGACAGTCTTCTGTCGCAGATTCGGAACCCATGTTGTCATGTGCTGCGGCCTGGTCTTGCAGCTCGCCGGCTTCATCGCTGCCTCATTTGCAACTCAAATCTGGCAGCTTCACCTCTCGCAGGGAGTCTTAATCGGCAGCGGGATTGGCTTCTTATACATCCCCTGCCTTCCAGTCCTCTCGCAATGGTTTGATCGAAAACGAAGCCTGGCCAACGGGATTAGTGCAGCAGGGTCTGGGGTCGGCGGCGCAGCTTTCACTTGGGGCACCGAGGCCATCATCCAAAGATTCAGCATTGGTTGGGCGTTGCGCATCACGGGCATCATCGCTTTCGTGGCCAATCTTACTGCAACGGTCTTCATACGCGACAGGAACAAGGCCATTCGGCCATCCCAACTAGGCTTCGATACCAAACTTCTGCGGCGCTACGAAGTGGTATTGCTGCTTGCATGGGTCTTCATCAGCATGCTGGGATACATCGTCCTCCTCTTTTCACTCTCCGATTTTGCACTATCGATAAGCCTCTCGCGATCCCAAGCTACAGATATAATCGGCCTCTTGAACGTCGGGACAGCGATCGGGCGTCCAATCATCGGTATCCTGGGTGATCGATGGAGCAGGATAGATACGGCAGGAGCGTTGACCTTGCTGTGCGGTCTTTCATGTTTTGCGTCCTGGCTGCCTGCTACATCCTACGCACTAACGGTATTCTTTGCCATTCTCTGCGGCGCGATCGTTGGTGTATTCTGGATGGTAAGTCAACTTCGTAACCGAGAAGTACTCCAGACAGCTCCACTGACCACTTACCCAACCAGACCATTGGCCCGCTCTGCGTCGAAGTCGCAGGCATCAAGAACCTGCAGTCGTTGCTTTCTCTATCCTGGGCAGCAGTCATCTTCCCAGCAACAGGTATGCGCCTCATTCTTAAGGTCGAGAGGAGCCTTAACTAACTGAAGCAGTTTCCGAGGGAATCGCACTCAAGCTCAGACGGTCTTCATCCTCCCGTGAGTATCTTTATACTCAGATCTTTGCAGGTCTTTCATATGTAGTGGCTAGTGGATTCATGTTTCAGCTACGGAGGGTGAAACGTCGCCAAAATGCCCTCGACCGATAGCATGCATGCTTAGATTAACGCTCATGCAATCTCTGCAAGAACCTCCAACAAGACATGATTTTGTATGCGACAACCTTCCAACGGAGACGTGCTGAATCGGTAGCCCGCCCTTAGCTTCTTGTCCAGATATTCTGAGCTGTGGCCGTCGGGGTTTTGTGCAAGCACGAGGGAGAAAGCGGTTGTACAAAGCGTCGTCGAACCTGAAAGTTGCGCTGGTAGTCCGTTCGATGCTGGCGAAAAGTCAGTCGAGTTTTCCTGAATCGGGCTCAATAAACTTAGACCTCCATTGGTGTGTGCTAGAGGAGTCATGATAGCAGGCATATCATGCGATTCCCATGGTGGCGACGCGTCGATCGCATACGAATCTACTAGGTTCAGTTGCATATTCGCATTCTGTATGTCTATCTCCGCGCCGAATGGTGAATAAATCTCATGTGCTTGCTTTTGGCAGGGGACAATAGAGCTTGTGTCCAACTAGCCTCGTCAAATTATGGTGACATTTGCGATGTATGAGCCTACCTCGCTGATCGATAGAGATTTAATACGTTGAAAAGATGTTCCAGGCGTACTTCCAATGTGGGTGATGCTCTCTAGGTTGCTTGATAACTGTGTTGCGAGATGCTGGGCTCTCGAGAAAGCCTCGAGGAATGCTTCGTCAAGCCCTAACGTATACAACAGCTTTTTGAGCGATTGAACCTCCTGGGTAGCTCTCGCGAGCTCTGCTGTCGTAGGGTCTTGACTGCATTCGTTTTCAGATTCGCGGAGCTTCGCTTCAAGTTCGGCAACGTATGCTTTGCGCCGAGCGCGACTGCGACGCTGATTGTTGCGCACCCGCTCGGCGTTTGTAGACTTGGAAGGCTGTCAGCACCTGATGACGCGACGGGATAGGAGTAAAGCACTTTCGCATTGACATTCTTGTGCGCCATTGTCAAGAGTTTCAGTAAGTGGAGGCTGTCGAGGCTGCGAGTCTTGAAAGATTATGGGGTAACGATGTTGAGACAGGCTGCCACGCGGCGTGACGTCATTTGTCAGCCTCAAAAGGAAGTTGCTTGCGCGTGTGAGTAGACGTTGCACAAGAGGAGGACCAAGACTACGATTTTTGGTATCGTTTTAAGCTATCTCTCATCCATGAGCTCTAGAACAAGCGTATTCTTGACACTACACTCCTGGTCTCCCTGACAGCCCAGACTCGCCCGTATCCGATGTCTATCACCGTCGCCACGCATCTCTGATATAATGGTGGCAGCGGTCTCGCATGATATCAGCAAACCATTGTCGAGCGACTTCGCTTGAGGCGCAGATGTGGGTGGACAAAAACAACTCGCAGTGTTAGGACAATCATCATCGTCTGCGACGCTGCGGGACGAGGCTACGCTTTGATCAGTCATTGAGCTTTCTGTTACTCGAGAATCGACGGCTATATGTGTCTCGGGTGGTTTGCAGCAAGATGACTTCTCCTGGTCTATCATGGCAACAGGCTCATGCGCAGCAGTAGACGGCGAGTTGGTCGTGTCATTCGCTCTCTCGGGCATACATGCTGCGTCTTGAATGGCTCCTACCACTGACTGACGAACATGGTGGTTGCCCGGGAAGGACTGTGCATGATGTTGAATTGGTTGGTGCGGCCGCTGCTGGATTGGGGTCTGTGCATGGGCTGGCTCAGGAACTTGCGCCGGAGACCGTACAACAGGCTGAGAGACAGGATACGTCGCGTATCCAACAGGACTTTGCGCGGGAGTAAGTGAGACCTGAGGTCGCATCGCCGGTTGAGCATACAGCGCGGCAGCTGAGGGACTTGGAGCGCTTGGCGCATTAAAGGATCGTAGATACGCATCCACCTCTTCGCGCGACACACCACGGCTGGCCAGCAAGTTCTTTAGACGTGCATTTTCCTCTGCAACCTTGCGAGCTGCGCGTTGCATCTCTTGGGTAGCGGCGATGCCTTTGGCTTCATATTCCTGCACGCGTCGCTGCAGGTCCTGGATGAGCTCTTTCCGCTGATTACGCGAGCGCCGCTGATTCTCGCGGATCCGAATGGAAGAAGGCGTGTCGCTTCCCTGCGTGTGGCTTAGCGTGCATTCCAGCGACAGCACATCTGCTATCCGTAGCTTACCTTTTTCGACATGATCGGATTGCGATATTATGGGAATCGCGATATGCAGGAACGTAGGTCAGAACCAGCAGAGTGGGGTTCTGAGCTACTTAGCGTCTGCATTTAGCGTGCGGTCTGGGTCGACACCAGCCATACCGCGCCAGGGGGGTAATCAGAAATCGACATGGGATGGTTTGCAGCGACAACAAGCAATAGACTATTTAGCTTATAGTCGTTGTTTCTAGAAGCTATTCCTAGAAAATATATTATTTATATACAAAATACTAAGAAAAGAGCTATTTATATAAATACTTTCTACACAGAAATACTAATATCTAAAAAATAGTTTTTTAGTAAAATAATTACTAGTGTTACTAGTGTATATAGTCTAATTAGTAAGAAAGATCTTTATTAAAATTACTAGAAAAAGCTAGTAAAATAGTAAGTAGCTAGTCTAGTTAACTATAAGTAGTTAGCTAGTAGAGAAAAAGCTAGGTAGGTAACTACTAATAAAAAAAGCTTTTTTTTTACTTTTACTCTTTTTACTACTTTATTTCTTAATTATTTAAAGTGTAAACTATTTTTAAGTATTAAATTATTTTTATTTCTTCTAGATTTTAGAAATAAAATAATATTATATATATTTTATCTCTAAGATAATTTAATATAAAAATACTTTTAGAATTATATTAAGATTATTATAAAGAATCTTTCTATATTTATATAAAGATAAACTCTACTTATATTATCTATATATAAGATTCTATAACTATTTATAATACTTTTTCTATCTATATATAGTATAATAGTTCTAGGTCTTAGACTCTATTAGTCTAATATTAGGCTAATACCTCTACTATATATATTTACCTTTAATAGCTTCTCTCTAAAGCTTTCTACTATAATAATATTATTATTTTATATATCTCTACTATTAATATATATAAAACTTTTATATATTATTATAGTTAATTATATACTTATATACTAGCGTAACTTATAAGAGTAGCTTTAGTAACTACTATAAATAACTTTATTAAGCGCTCTAGTACTTTATATTCTAAGATTTATAAAAATACTATAGAGATTATCTACTAATATAATATACTTAAAACTCTAGAAAATACTATTATATCTAAGTCTACTACTAACTTATATACTATATCTTTTATTTTTTATTACT